AAAAACATCATAAAGGTCCAAAACAACTCCGCAAATCTGTTTGCTTTTGACAAGAGTAATTGTAGACAGGAATAGAGTTTGCTGTTTTAGTGAATGAGGCAAACAATGACATTGTTTGGCGCAACTTCGTCGTGAAGTAGTCAGAGGAAGTTTACTTGAGGCAATCACCAAGCATTGTTGATCCCCAGATAAACTCCATGCCAGTTAGTAGGGTAGAGAGGTTGTCACTAAGAAGGGTCGAATCGGTCCTCAAGAGGTTGATATCCTTACAAGCAAAAGTTCAAAAATCACTGAACGGCAGAAAACGAAAGGATCAGGGATCTAGGAAAGGCTACTCGGTTTTGTTCTTCACAGAGCGCCTCGCACAATTGATGCTTCTTGGCTTTCGGAGGAATCATGCATACTCAATGTCTCCTGTAGAGCATTTTTGAAAAGTTTTACAGCGAAATGACCGAGAAAGAAAGGTGGGCATTAGGGTTGCTGCTATGAGATATTCGGAGATAGGTCCGGCGTTATTCATAAGCATGAGGTGCTGTACTGTTGGGAATGCCCATACAGGATCGTAGAAAGGTAGCTACCCATTATAGCTTTCCGAGAAAATAATGATTTTGAGTGTATCTAATAGGGATACCGTAAGACGGTGAGTTTGCATTACTGTGAAGTACAGCTTTCGTTCACTCTGGATCTGATTGGCCTCTGTCGAAATGGAGAATACTTTCAAACTTGACTATTTAAGGACTAGCCAATTCTACAGATTTTTCACCTCAGTATCGAAGCTCTATCAAGGTCGGTTGGATATGCAATTTCATTAGCAGTCTAAATGTTATGTTTATCGAAATAATTTTTTAACAGAGATCAAAGACTCAAGAAGTCACTGAGTGGTAGAAGCTGTTATTTGAGTGTTGAGTGTGTCAGAGAAGACCATACGGGTGAAACGTGTGTTCCGCAATCCGGGTAAAGGTGACGTGAGTCGTGTTCTCTCCCGATATCATATAAAAGGGATATTACTTATGAGGTCATGTTCCGCGTGGTATATGTTTGACACTGATCTCTGAACCAGAGACCTGTTCCCGTACAGTACATAATACCTTTCGACAATGTCTCAGGAGGTAGTCTGCTTGACCTACTTGTTACATCCACGATACAGAACGCGAAGGAACTGGGTAAGTGTCAAAAAATGGTGAAAATCGCATATCCGATATCTATATGGGCATAACCTACATGACGACAAGTTCGAAGTTGACTCGGAAAACTTCCCTAAGTAACTCCACTATAAGCACACGCCTTAGAGAACGCGAAATGCACCTCCAGGGTCCGTTGTAGAGCATTCCACAGAAGTTCAGCAGCGAAATTCCGAGAAAAGGGAGCTGTTAGATGCACTGATCCGAACATTCCAGGGAATCCTTTCATACAAGTCACCTACTATCAATCTTGTAGTAGTGGAGTAAGGCCAATTGGCGCGATATCACACGCACGGTAGGGAGATATAATGCCGTGATGATGCTCGCTTAGGTATGGTGAAAATCACTGACGCAGTTAGGCTTAACTGTGACCTTGAATGGAAGTTGTATAAGTGAGGCACTGTGGGATAGGGTCGATCAAGGTTCAAAACCTCACCTTTATCATTTCATTTTTGATAAGAAAAGTGAAGTGTTCGAAAGGACACGGACCGTTCGATGACAGAAGCGTTCGATCAAAACTCAGCCTGGAGAGGTTGCCTTTCACTCTGAGAGGAGAGCTCATTGAAATCAACAAAGGTCGTTAACCTCTGTCTCATACTGACTTCTGTGTGCGGCCGTGCAGAAAAAAGAACTAAATGTTTGCCATCGGCGAGAAAGAGTTAAGGATGCAAAGCAAATACTCGCTGACTCGCTTGACAGATACTATGAGATGTATTTAAGGCAACTCGCAGGGTTCAGTGCCAATTCATTGCTTCCACCGCCACCAACAGTCAAACATCATGTCATCCAACAAGAAACTGTAAGTTATCACATCCCAGTCCTTTTTTCTTGGGTGAAGCCCTCGTAAGGATAATCATTGAAGCTCATTACGGCCGCCATGGGCCGTAGCCTAGATCACTTCGAAAGCAATAGACCGAGAGCCCCTATTATTACAAACAAATGGATTTATTAATTGAACACATTCTCTCCAGCGCTCTTGTCGTCGCCATCGCCATCCTCTGTGCATTCGTCGCCGAGACTGAAGCCCAATATGTGAGTTTTTTTGACTAATTAATGGGGTGATACCTTGGTATGAAAAAATAACTCCAAAGGTTGCCCCCTCGGGACACTGTAACATCCGAATGGTTACTTCCAAGGTACTTTATATGCCCACGGTACCTTGTACTTGATGCAATGGAGGTATTATTAGGAGTTTAGTCCATGCATAGCTCTCTAAATACCCCTAAAGGGATCATACCTGTAGGGATTTTTCCCCACTTTCTGACTCGGCCCGCGGGGTTTTGATCCCGTTGCCATGTGGGAAGCTTTCAATGTGAACGTGAAGTTCTCGAAATCAACCAGCCACTGATTACTACTGTTTCAGTACTACTCGCCATACTACAGCTATGGTGGCTACTATGGTTACCCAGCATACAGCTATGGATACGGATACCCATATTACGGTTACGGTTACTACGGTTACTACGGTAAACGCGAAGCTGGATTCGGACCTTCTGCACAGCAGATGCCACAACAACAGCAGATGCCACAACAAATGCAACAACAACAACAACAACCTCAACACTAAAAGCTTTACACAGATTATCAATAAATATTCATTCCTGCACATTTGTTTTCGATCAGTCAGGGAACGATTTGCCGATATGGAAATCGCCCAAAATGGGAAATTTGGAAGTCCCAAATGAGCAAAAATGCCTCTACAACGTAAAGAAAGTAAACCACCCAAAGAGGCTTACTTTCGAGCGAAGGTGGTGAAGAAGACCCTAAGAAGAAGGATATCATATGCATCTTGTATTATGCTAGGTTGCAGTTCGGAAATTTTGATGGTCCTTCAGCAAATGGCCATCCGATCATAAAATGTTGTTATACACCATGTACTACATTATAGTACGGATATTCGATCTGTAACAGTATGTAGAGAGCTCGAAAAAAAAAGGAGAAGGCATTATGCTGTTTGATAAAGACTTCCTCCCAGAGGTTTCAAAAATGTTCGTCCAATACGATGGTGGTCCTAATTGGAACTAAGGTCTCTCTAGCAATAATAATGAATGCCTTTTGCTATGTAATTTTCCTCGGTTACGCTTCCATGATCGGATTAATATTTACAGCTAGTCCTAACCGCCTGACAAAATATTGAAATAGCTGGTTGATGTCCGGGACCAGATCTAACAACATCGACAGCGCGGTTCCTAATAAGCCGGCTGGCTCGGCGTTCAGTCCAACAGTTGTCCGCAGAAATAATGACATTCCCACGAGGGTGAGTTTACTGTCGATTTGTTCCTTTTATGCTTGCCGATTTAAAAAAGCTCTGAGCTGAATATTGGCTGACCATCGCCTTTAGTCTCCAACTTAGCCAGGACAGTTGTTCAACTGGCCTAAATTATAGCAGTTGAATATATCATCACCACTCCTTACGAATCCCAAGCTANAGCGCGGTTCCTAATAAGCCGGCTGGCTCGGCGTTCAGTCCAACCGTTGTCCGCAGAAATAATGACATTCCCACGAGGGTGAGTTTACTGTCGATTTGTTCCTTTTATGCTTGCCGATTCAAAAAAGCTCTGAGTTGAATATTGGTTGACCTTCGCCTTAGTCTACAGAACTTAGCCAGGACAGTTGTTCAACTGGCCTGAATTATAGCAGTTGAATATATCGTCACCACTCCTTACGAATCCCAAGCTATTCGGACAAGCTCGTCCATGCTTCATTTCAGATGAAAACTCCTACAAAGAAGGAAACGGCATTATCACCATACCGTAGAAGAATAAACTTCTTTGGATGCGCTACGCACTTTACATTCAATCACAAATGCATAGGAATTCGAATACGTATCTCTTCGAGTAACTTGCGCGGCGACTGTTCAGTGCAAATCTGATATCCTTTTATAAGATTGCGATACACGTTTCAAGTTACGTTTCATACCCCGGTCTTTCACACTAATAAATGTGAGAAAATGCCACTCCACCTTTTACACTTCATAGTGATCTCACGCTCGGACAGTTATGGCTAAAGATTTGCGGGTTCGAGTTTACAGAAGTTTAGAAAAAACAGAAACTATAGGTACGAACAGTCCAAAATTCCACCCAGACTTTTGGGTTTCTGCACAAGTAAGTTGGATGTACTTTGGCCCGATCGAGCGCACCGCCTCATGTTCATAGTGCCAGTCTTTGCCTGGGTATTCGGGTCCAATGGATGGTAATGGTCTCAGTGGGGTAAGAGGGGAGAGTTTACATCAGATCAAAAACACCTGTCCGTCGCCAGGTACACCTTCCGTAGCATTGCTTTCAAGCTAGCATGGTCAAAAACCAGCAATTAATAAAAGATAAATAAACACTACGAACAGCCCATTTGTGCCAGAAAACCTCGAATTTGAAGGAATTAACGAATCTGTTGTATTCTAGAGTACTTCTTGTTTGTGCATTACTGTGCAGCTCACTGAAGGAAGCAGCTTCACAGGTAAGCGATGTCTCCGATATTTGGAAAAGAACTGGTTCTTACTCTCTTCACACTCATTAAGCCTATTTTAGCCTATTCCGTATGAGTATTATATCCCTTTACCGATTCTACCGATTCTACCAATAGTACCTCCGCCNAAAAAATGCTCTGTATTCTTGCTTTGATGTCGTCTGTCGTCCTGCAGATCATGGATTTCCTCGAGCAGACACCGGTAACGTCTCCATTTGTCCCTGTCACCCTGGCCCGCGAGAGGGACAAATGGAGACGCTACCGGCAGCCGCTCAAGGAAATCGATAATCAACGGGACGACGGGAGATGCAGGTGAATTTGAATTCTACGGACAATAAAACAATAAGAATCAGTTATTTCATAACCACAATCATTGTAAGAGCCTTCAAAGGCATTTATATACCGGTGACTTCCTAGAATTTGAAAAAGTTGGTTGGTTTGTCGTCGTTCTTGTAAAAAAAAGGGGTCCAATTCAAAAAATACTTATCCGTATGGTTCTCTCATTTTCCTGGATTTGGTCGATATACAAGTTAACTGGTGGGTAGGTGTAGAAACCTATTACTCTCAATCTCAAACCGTGTTAGAACAGTGAAAGGAAAGGACGTTTCTCAAAGGCACGGTCAAAGACAATTTTGGGTTATCTGAGTTAACTGAATACTCCTCTACCTTTGCGAATCCTGCCCTTTCTGTTCACGGCAATTCAGACTACCCGCTAATTTTAAGTAGCCCTTTCAGGATTAATATGATGCCATTTCAAGGCTCAGATAAGCTTCATAAGCTCCGTCTTTTTTCACTACGGATAGCAGGCCTACAATGCATACAGTAACGCTCAAAAGTACTCGGCCAAGCAGTTTCTCGGCCGTATCACTAACTTGATCAAAAGGCTGTGGTTATTGTGTTGTAATAAGTAATGCATTGTTTTTAAGAGTCTCATTCTCATAAAAAAATCATTAATCGATAAGCTATAGTAGGTAGAAAGTATTATTTGTTGTCACCTCGGGAACATGTTGCATTCCAGATGGGAGGACTGATAACGAGGCTTAAATAGGGGGCGCGACCGCCAGAGAGGCAGTCGAGCTTGACGAGCAAGCCGGCAAAAAGGAGGTGCAAGATTTTCTGTAGGGCTTAATGTTCTCGTTAGAAATATTATGTGAATTATTGCCGATTTGTTTAATTACCCAATTTTGAGTTTGAGGTGAACGTGCATGAAAGGTGTTTTACCGAGCCGCGTGGCAGAAGCATAAAATGAGAGTTTGGCAGTGGAGGCGCAAATCAGGCCGTAACGTTTTTTCTCAGTGGAGCAAATCGCATGAAATTTTGATATGTTTAACTGAAGCATATTCCACACTATCCAATACTATTTGACTGCAAAGCAGCAGTGTCCACATAAATAAGGAGAAGACGTTTGTAGACTGTGCTGTAAGCAAATTTGTAACGTCTGCCATTATTCGCACCTTATGTACCTTTTTCTCCTCTCCTGCATTCGGCATTGGCGCTCGTACACTTTGGACATGGCAAAAAGGAAAGAAATCCTAGAAGCACCAATATCTCTCATTTCAGTTGGTTCTAATTTCAAGCTCTTTGGGATATTCAGAACATGATCAGATTGAGGTTTGATAGTGGTAAATATTCACACCACACCCTTCCACACATATTGAAATTTCGCATGATTAGATTCAGTAGGAAAGGAGTTACAACTGAAATA